GAGCGCTTCTTTTTAACCTTTCAAATGCGGTATTTGCTTCTGCTGTCCACGTAAATTTACTTTTCTTTCTTTTAATTACTAACAAGGGTTCAACAATATTAGCGAAATCTTTTATGAACGACCGATAATAAGAACATAACCCAAGGAAGGAAAGAAGAGAAAGTTTGGCTTGGGTGTTGGGAGGTGGGAAATTCTTGATGGCTTTTATTTTTGAATCTTGAGTTTCTATACCCTTTTGCGAAATTTTATAACCCAGATATTTAAGTTCTTTAGTTGCGAACTTGCATTTTGAGGCGTTAATTGTAAGACCGGCCTCTTTTAATAATTTAAAAACTTCTTCTAGATCTTTAATATGTTGTTCCAACGTACTACTCGTTATAATTATATCATCTAGATAGATTAAAGTCGATTTTCCTAGGACAGGCTTTAGAACAATGTCCATAGCTCTCTGGAATGTTGATGGGGCCCCACACAACCCAAAGGGCATGCGTAAAAATGCATAAGTGCCCGATTTTGTTATAAACGCGGTTTTATGTATGTCTTCGGGTCTCATAGCTATTTGATAGTAGCCCAGACGTTAAGTCCAAGTAGTCATGTATCTCGTAGATTTAATCTTTCTAATAATTTCCTCTATAACCGGCAAAGGGTAAACTGGGAATTTAGTAATACTATTAAGTTTTCTGTAATCGATAGCAAACCTCCAAGCCCTTTTATCCGAAGGAGAGGAAACTCGTTCTTTTTCCTACATAGTACGACTGGACTCGCGTACTCACTATTTATGGGCGTTATTATTTGTTCTTTAACATTTCCTGAATATGTTCTTCGATGATTACGTCTTTTGTTTATCATAGCGGTAAGGTTTAGTCCTACAGGGTTTTGTCGGCAGTTAACTGTATCTCATGCGTAACTATTTGACAGTTACCAGGCCGTTCTGAAAACAAGTTTGAAAAAGTACTCACCACTTGCTGGATGGCTTGGACTTTCATGGTCATTCAAATGGCTAAGGTCAACTTGCGGTTGTTTTCCACTGGTTCCACCACCCTCCGGTCCATCTCCAGCACCATAGAACTTCCTGAAAATTCAGTTTGGCCCTCGCGGCCTTTAAAAACTCCATACCTAAAATAAGATGGACTTTGCAAATTTTTTACACAAAAATTAATACTTTGAGGCTTTCTTTTACCTGTATTTTAATGATAATTTTCCCGATGCATTGACAAGTTTTTCCTTGCGCCGCTATAATTTCCGTGTTTTTTTTATTTTTAAATAATCGTAACCTATTAAAATTCTTCTTGAAAAATGTATCACTCATAAAATTACCTTCTGCCCCTGTATCGATGAGGGCTTCTACTGGTACATCGCCAACCAGGACTTGTATAATCGGTAATTGTGAGTTCTTTACGATGACCGTATTTAGGTATCTTCTTGACTGTTTTTTCAAAACTTCCGGGGTCTGGACCCTCGCTTTTCACAGGCCCCTCTACTCGTTTAAAGCTTTCCTTTCAACTTCTGCCTTCTGGGTACGCGGACGGTTGTTTTCAAATTTCCTTTTTGGGCCTTGACCTTCTTGAGCTTTCCCCCATAAGAGCGATTTGTGTTTCTGGTCTGTTCATTTGAAGATTGCCTTCGGATACTTTGAGAATACGATGCCCCCTCTAGCTTTTTCCGCTATTCTGCGATTTTGGAACTTGACCGCCAATTCGAAGAGCTCCTGCAATGTGCTTGGGTTTCTAATTTCGAAGTAATCTTGAACAGCAGGTAGCAATCTTGGTAAGATTATTTCAATAATCTCCGCGTCGGGTTTCTTCCCATACAGCATATCCGTCAGCTTAATTTTTCGCAGAATAAAGTCCGTCAACTCTTCTATATTCCGTTGATAAAAACTATACAGTTCGGCTTCTAGCTTTGCTCGATCTTTCACTATGGGGAAGGCCTTTAATAACGATTTTTTGAAATTTTCAAAGGTATATGTTTGGCCTCCGAATTCCCCTAATAAAAATTTGCCTATATTCTTCCACCATAGCGAGGCCTGTCCTCTTAGTGCAGATGTGGCGATGGCAACTTTTTGTCTTTCAGGCACAGGGTATAGAGCTGGAAAGTGATTTTCTAGGCCTTCTAAAAAATATCGCCACCGAATTTTTTTTCCGTCGAAATTGACGTTTGGCTTGATTGATGCTCTCATCGTCTGGACCAGGTATCCAAATCCTTCAATTGGCTTCGCCATTTTTTGTGTTGGAGTTGTCCAGGAGCTTCCATCCAGTTTTCGGCCATTTCAGTTCGACAAGTGTTCGGGCGCCAATGTGATGTTGCGCGGTCCCCAACTTGTCACGCAACAAGTAGTAGTGACTGCTATTGAACTGGAAATTACACAAACTCTTAAGAAGGGTTTAACTCCCTTTTTATTTCAACTTTAGAAATTACAGTTGCGTTCACTTGACGCTCACAAACTACGCCGACCCGGCGGTTGAAAAATAAAAAATGAACACTAAAATAAAGGACAGGATGAATAAATAACAAGTCACTACCTACGAGGCTCTCTAATCGTAACTAACCTAACCGCGTTCTAAGATACAGCTGAGATTCAGCAAACTTTCTGATTAAGAATTTGAAAGATTCAACGAACTGCCGAATAAGCACACAGGCCGAACGCGCGGTTCTTAATTTCTACTAGCAACCTTCACGCTCGCGAAGTCAAGAAGCACATTTACGAACTCGTTTCCCTTCTATTTAACTCAATTACTTCCTGCTGAAATTTGAAACTTGCGCGTTCTACTAAAATTTACATACTCTGCATTGGCAATTCAGGGAAAGTAAAGGCTTGACAGGAAAGATAGCTTAAACTTAAAATAAATGTTAGTTAAAATAAATATAAACCCTACAAAGTTATTGTCTGTTACTCTTATCTTGACACGGCAGTATTCTCTTCTTCAGTATGCTGTTACAAGACTCAATTTGAATTACTTCTAGAAGTATGAGATATCTATAACTTACCATAAAATTTGAAATTTCTCCTAAATTTCAATTTTGAGTCATTTTATTAACGTTTGTTTAACACTAAAAACACTTTAAATTTTAATCTAGTTATTATTTTTTCTATGAGATGAGAATTAATAATCCACGAAAACTTTTCCAAGCCATTTCTGTTTTTCAAATAAAAAAAACAGCAGAATTAAATTAAGAAGAAATCATCATCAAGTACTAAATTATTGAAGTATGAATGTTAATTTATGGATTCAAAGGCATTAGTGATCATAAACAAAAGAAACTGAAGCTAATTTTTAAATGATACTAGTGTTCTAAGACGGACATAACCAGAAAAATTCATTTTCATATTTCGCAGAGAATCACATAGAAAAGTGTTATGAATACCTTTTTAAGAACGAGACAGATTGCATAAAAAAAAGCGAATTGAATTTTTGAGAAAACGTTCACTAACTTGCATTTAATCTACACTTAACCTTGATCGAATTCTTCAGTTCATTGCTTGATTTTTGAACAGGGAGTGGTTTCCGAATACTAGAAGTTCGACACTAGTTCCAGCTCGAGAAAACAGCTTGGGTGTATGTTTGATTTTCGTGGATTTCGTTGTATTGTGAATACCAGCCTGTTTCTTTAAAGAGCCTCTCCTCTTAAGCAGGTAGCTCTCGTGTGTTTTTCCGTGTCCAAACAGCCTAACATGTTTTTGAACAGGATAAGTAAAAAAGAATCATCCTGTTCCAAACAATTACAGAAAGTAATTTAACAGTCACATATTTACCTCTAATACATTAAATTAGACTTCAACTATCAAAATTTCTAGTCAAACTATAAATGTGCTTCATGTGAGCTCCTGTTGTTAAACACAAATACAGTTTTACTGCCATTTTAGTCCGCCCACATCGGAATATATTTAATGTGGGTGAAAGTACAGCATGGATGATACAGATTTTGAATTCAAGATCGAGTTGCAGTGGTTTCATAAAACAGTATTTTTAGCATATCCTCCCCTCCTCAAAAATTCATAAGGACTAAGCTTCGGCGAATTCGGAGGCCAAGTGTGGAACTCACTATCATTTGACTCACTATCATATCTTTAGACTACAAACTGAATTGCTTCCCTCGGTAAAAGGATCTTGTAAAGAGCATTTTTGGTATGAGAAAAGAAACATGAGTACGTAAAGTTAAACTTGATATAACCCAGATAAATATGAGTCAATAACATTTTTCGAATTTAAAACAGTTAACTCTGTACGGCTTATAAGGTATAATTTGTTTATAAAAAGTAACGTAAATATAATACACCGCAGAAGCTACAGACGGGAACAAATACTAAATTTTTAAAAATCTTCTCATCTGTTTTGAATCTCTCGAACAGATCTGGCGCATTCTCCTTTTAAAATAATAAAAATAACAAAAAAAAATTGAATATTAAAATCTTTTAATTAAAAGAAAATTTGAATCTCATTCAAGGGAAAGAGTTGCATAAATAAAAAATGTGCCTATTTTAAGGAGCACTAGAAGCTAAACACGTTTTGAGGTTCATTTTAAAATGTAGAAACCTTTAAAAAAGAATTTTTTATTTAATTAAACAAGCATCTAGAGACATTTTGGGTTCAACCCACTTTTCTTTTTTATTAAGTATGATACCTAAAATTGAGCTGAATAGTTCTTCTTGAGGTTATTTTTGATTTGTGTTTTTTTTTAAATAAATGTTTACGCTAGCCGTTCAATAAAGTAATCTTTTAAATGTTTTGAATAAAAAAATCAACAATTTTTAAGTTAGGTTTAGAAAAATTCGAATGAAAAAACACGAAGAATAGATTTTTTTTAACCTGGTATCTTTTTTTAGATTAATCAACGTTCTTAAAGAGGTGATATAACAGTAAAATATGGTACTTATTTTACAAAAAAATTTTGAGATGTTTAAAAAAGTTTTCAATGAATAATTAAGTGCAGAAAATTAAGAATTATACAGCTGCTTTTCTCATGTAAAGTGAATTTCATATTATTATTTATTATTACAGATGCAAGCTACGGATATCAAAATGATCTTCACGACGAAAGTTTTATGCGGAGGAAGCAAAGAAGAAATAGGACAACATTTTCAGTGCAACAGGTAGTACATAAAGAACCTTTTTACTCATCATCGGAATGTATTTCTTTTTGTGCATTTCACAATATGCTGACCTATAGAATAGCATATTTAATCTTTCACAGAAAGTCACATCAAATCTTTTTATATTTACACAATCTAAACAATAATTTCATTGAAAATGTACAAAGGTCGATTTCACATGTTTTACCAGCTTCATGAAGTGCGCAACTCATCGATGCAGATTTCTAAAATTCCGGACCTAAAATCTGAAAAAAGAGGGAAAAGTCATTATTATTACCACCAAAAACTTGTTTCAAGTTTTTAAACATTTAAATGTTTTCCTATCAGTTAAGGTGTTAAGATTCTAGCTAAATTAACTTTACTTTGCTGGCTAGATCTTTACTTGAACTGAGAAACGATTATTTGCGAAGTTCAAACTGACAAGACGTTAGAAAGGTAAAGAGACCCTTTCATTCAGTTCAAGAAAGAACTTACAGTCGGCACTCATGGTGCTTACAAATTTAGCCAATACTTTTGGCTGCAATTCAAAATAGAAATATAAAATTAAAACTAAGTCTAAATTAAATAATCAGCCGAAACTGCACAGCGATAATTAACGCGACCTAGCTGTTAACCATACCACTGATATATACAAAGCAAGCAGCAATTAATATGCATGGTCGTAAAACACCAAGGTTCAATCAGCAAAGCAACGTGGCCGAACGGCAGAACACGCACTGTCTGAAGAAACTCAGACACCAGCTTAAAAAGTATCTTTCTACCTTACTTTTGCATAACACGCGAAACTGAAATATAATTCTCGCAGGAAATGGAGATATGTGAGAAGACAGAAAAGATGAGTAACTGAATAAAAACTGTTTAGTTTAAAACTAGGTTTCCTTTACAAAGTAATAAATGTTTATTCTGGAACTTAAGTCAACTGTAATTTACCACAACTGACCTGTAAATGTTTGGACGAAATTTGCTGCTGCTTTAGTTCGCGAAAGCTTGCCTTCTTCAGTCTTCTCTTGTCAAAAATGTTTAATTCTGTATGCGAGAATAGTAAATTCAGAAAAGAATTACCAAAAATTCATTTAGATTCATTATTAATGCTCATTCCTTCAGCAGATTTGTATCTGAAATAATTTCAAAGGAAATCCAAATGTGGGCTTGGATTTAAAACGAAAAATAACTTCTATTTAACTTAATTTTATTGTAAGAGCGGAATAAATTAAATCGTTATTACAAGCAATTACATATTACAGGTATTACGCAATAAAAGATATAGTACCTTAGCTTTATGAAATAATGAGTTTTGCTGTAGAGTTCTGCATACGAGAAGCTTGAAAAATTTCTAATAAACAATGTACGCTTGTTTTTTTCACTGCACATGAGTTATCAAAATTTTATACATAACATGTTTGCATTTAGAAAGAAGGGAAAACTAAATCTAACTTTTTATTTCAGTTAGAAGAACTGGAAAAAGCGTTTGCGCAGACTCACTATCCAGATGTTTTTACAAGAGAAGATTTAGCTATGAAGATCAATCTAACAGAAGCAAGAGTTCAGGTAAATTTGATTTCTGATGCAGAGCTCTAAGTATATTCGAGTACTGTAATTAAGACAAATGTAATCTATTAGACTCTTATCTGTTAGATTACTTATCAGTCTAAACATAATCTTATTTATTAAAAGATAAATCAATGTTAAATATTTTAATTTGTAATCCTATTTTTCGGAAAGAATTTCAAAGTATGCATTACATTTCAATGTTAAAAGTCATTAAAGCCAATAGAAAAAAATTATAATAACGATACTCGAAAATAATAAGAAAAAAATTAAATAATGTTTCGACGTGTGAAAATTTCTAAATTTTTGCATAGCATTCTAAAAAAATATAACAAACAAATAATGATAAGTGAACATCTGGGGTAATGTTCGCAGTAATTTTGAAGTTCTCCCAGATGATTTTTCAGAGGAAATCGAGTAGAGTAATAACTCTGCATCTTCTGACAATATATTTAAATGTTCTACCACAGTTACGAGAAGCCAATGATAATATCGGATCTGTTTATAACGCAATATTTAAGTAAGTTACTGTCGATGTTCAAAATAATGGGAAAAGTACGCTTACAGAAGTTAATTTGTTTTTTATTGCATTAAAGCCCGTAGAGAAAACCGTCACTTTTCGTATGATTAACTTATGTATATATTCTAAAGTATAACTGAAACAACGGATTTTAATGTATTTTGTAAAACTTAATGCCATAGTGGCGGAAAATATGTTAATTGCCCGTGTTCCAAAGAGGTCATACTTGGTGTTCGACTTCTTGGTGCATCTCTAATCTTAGATGTAAAATTATTAGAGATAACGAAAGGTGTACCGTGTCTAAATTCATGATAGCATATACTAGTTTCGGCGGAACATCTTCTGCGAGGCACAACTGTGGTAAGAAAACGAACTTTACCTGCAAATATAGAAGGGAGGTAAGGAGAATTATTACATGAAAAAGAAAACCTGCTAATATAGGTTTGATTTCTGAATTAAATATCACCTATAGAGCCATATATATAATATATTCATTTATTGATAACATTTATAGAGCCATTTATATATGTCATGTATGTATATATATATATATATATATATATATATATATATAATAGGATATAAGAAAGGTAAACTAACTAAAAAGGACTTGTGAGGTCAAGAATTTTGCGAATTGAGCTGCAAAATTTGAAATAAAATTAAAAAGTAAATTCTTCAAGTTATTGCCTATGAGCTAAAGTGATACTAAAATCCTTTGCAAAGTAAAGATCCAGTTGTAATTCAAAATGCAAAAACACAAAATGTATGAAATACTAATCACACTGCTGGCCATTAAAATTGCTACACCATGAAGGAAAACAAATACAAAAACAAATATTTATTGTATGTAAACAGTATGGCATGAAGACAAAATGATTAAATTTTAAGCAGTTTGTGGGTTTACGCAGGGGTGGGAAATTAGTAGAAACAGCTGCCACCCCTGCCAACTAAAACGACCCTTACCCCGTTAGGCACAAAGTCGAACTTGCTTGGATGATAGAAACGGCCAACTCATTCCATGCTGTTTCAAACCTATGCCACACTTCATCAACCGTGTTAGCTGGAGAGGGGTGGTGGGTAACTCTCTCAGCAACCTATGGCCAGATGTTTCCAATGGGTGACAGATCTAGAGACTGTGTAGGCCAAGGCAGGAATAGAATACTCTGTGTATCAAGGAAGGTCAGAACACGACATGCAACATGTGGTCTTGCATTACCTTGTTGGAAGATGACGTTTGGCAGGCCTTCAAGGTATGGAACAACCACTGGACGTTTGATAATCATAAATGTACCGATCTGTGTTAAAATTACCATCGATCCGAACTAGAGATGCGCGTGTCGTCTACTCATTGGCTGCCCAAATCCTCACATCAGGTCCAGGGCCCCTATGAGGATAGCGAATATAAGCAGGCGACGTGTTGTCTCCTCGGAGCTCCCAAACACGTATACGGTAATTAGAATATTGCACGCAGAACCGGGACCACTCTTGTATCCAGCTTGTCGGTCGGCGCACCATATATCTCTCTATGCTGCATTGTCAAGGGAAACCAAAGTAATGGTCACCCTGCTGATAGTCCACGCTGCTTTAAAAGTCAACGCACCGTACGAGCGGATGCTGGACGTGCTGCAAACATGCCTATTTTCTGACTAATGGTCCATGATGTGGTTATACGGTTTTGTAGGGCTGATCTCACAATATGTCTGCCCTCTATGGCGCTGGTCATAGAAGAGAGTATCCTGCATATTCAGTATGTCTCTCAGCAACCTATTGATTCCATATTCGCATGCCAGTAGTTGGATGTCGAGCAGTGCGATGGGCAATATCACGGAACGATAATCCACACTCTCGATGTACAATGATCCTGCCTCTGTCGAACTACGACACTTGCTGGTAAACATTTCTTCTTACTATTCGAGGCATAACATGATATTCTGTGCAAACATGATATTCTGTGATTCTTAGAAAGCAATTTCTGAATGAGAAAGTCACTACAGAACTTTCGATGCAGTACTTCAGAGTCGTCTAAATGTGCTAGAATACTAATCATTTGCATATCCCAACCTCTTCTTCCTTTCATGTGATTTTGACGTTCCTCAAATCATTCCTTCCTGGTGTTGCAATTTTAATGGCCAGCAGTGTATATATTTACCATCATTCGAAACTTGTATGCCTTCATTTCAAAACGATTTCAAACAACATTGCATGCCAAAAAGTGCTCCTACATCTATTAGATCTACAATTGTTTATACTATTAAGGATTTTTTATTATTTTGGTTAACTTTTGTAATTTTATAAAATAAAATGTCATTTATAAAATATGAATTAGCTGCTATAATGTGCTATTCAAGTAATATACATATATATACGGTAAAGTGTAACTGATAAGTTATATCCAATAAGGTAATATTATAAAATAAAGCAATAATTTAACATATCTGTCTGTATATTGCCCATTTATCCTCTCGTATGTATGAAAGTAAGATTCATTGATGTTTGAACCAACTGTTAAAAAGTCAACAAAACAATAAAAAAATACTATTTCACAGTTGTGTACAAAATAATTTGTATGGTATTGAGTGCAATTTCAAGAGATGGCAGAAAAATATAAATTCTACTTTTCCATCAAAGCACTGCTTAAATAGTGAAATAACAAACTAAATCTCATGCTCTTATATATGCTTATGATCGGAAATTACAGTGGAATGTAGCAATTGTTGAATTTAGATTCTCGTATCTCATATTAGAGCCCGTTTTTGCTGGCTAAATGAACGGTTTTCTTCTTTAGTTTTGAAAGTTATTTTAAGCAATAAAATGCCGAAAATTACTAAAATCTTGGATTTTGAATTTGTAAATGCAGAAGCAGGATTGTAAGGTTGAAATGAAAAGCATTCGCAATACCACTTTAAAGTGAATGCTGAAAATCATTTGAAAGAAAAGTAATAAAAATTCTTACCCAGGAAAAAATACTCAGAAGGTAAGGAAAATTTAAGAAGATAGATTACAATCCCCTCTCCCCAAATAAAATGAAGATAGGGTTTCAAATTCTTCTATAATAATAGTCTATGAATTATATTTGAAATAACAGGAAAATCATATATATTGCTTATAAGATAAATGCTAAGAAATCCGAGTTTTCGCCCTCAGTTTTTTTAACATCCATTTTATATTTTCTAGTACTAAGTAACAAAACAATTTTTATTCCGTAATATAAGAACGCCACAATTATTTGAAACATTGTCCTAAATTTCTCACCTAGACAGGCTTCTTTTCCTTGGGATTTATCTTTAATATCCTGGTAAGTTTTATTGAATCCTGAGAGCTCCGAATTAATTTTTAGAATTTAGAAAATTTATTTTGTCTTTAGATTTCATTAAAAATTAGAAAGATATATAAATAATAGAGATAGAGAGTCTAAAAGTGTTTTCCTTTCCCAAAAGTAAAATAAATTTGTATAATCAAAAACAGGACTACATTTCTCTAATTTTAATTTTGGATTTTTATTTCAAATTAAAATATTAAAAAAACTAATTATAAAATTTTGGTGTACAAAGAAATACTTTTTTAATGTAACTGATATTAAGTTCGTTTAAAAAATTAATATTTTTGATCTCAGTTAACATTTGTAAAATAATTAATGATAAAAACTAATTAAGGTTTTTTTAATTTTACAAATGCTTTTTAACTATTTTAAGGTAAAGAGAAAAACTGACAGCCAGATAAATGCTCGTAAATTATGTCGAAACCGTGAAGATAGCCTCTGAATGCTTGACAACCTGTAAAATTTCTTTCAGTCCTAAATTTAATTTTATAACTATATCCAGTTCTGAAATTCTAATTGATGCTCATCCTAATTTGCTAACTATTCTGAACTTAAAGCGGAAGTAATAAATATACAAGCATCAAATTTATTCCTTCTTCAAAGGTTCTAATTTCATGATTTCAAGTAACTACATTAAAAAAATGTTTTAAAACATTTGTAAGGATTATGTTAATTTTATTAACAGTTAAACTTCCTTTCTTATCGCTTCTTAATTTCAACTTACCACTGCCGGCCAGAACGTAGTTTTAGAATCACGTCTGAATGCTAATGAAGAAGAGCGCTATTTAACCGCGAAGTTCTACTGTCTTAGAGAGAGAGATACCAGATATTCTGGCTGCAAGCGTCCGCCTTTTTAGGCTACTCGTAAGCTTTCTCTCGTAAGCTATTATTACGCTCGGCCGTACTTTAGGCCTTTGATAGCTTCGCAGTCAATTAGCGTTAAGGGCCAACCCTGTTAGAATTTTGATAGCTTCGGCTATATCTCTTTAGTTACAATTAGTTTAGTTTAATTCTTAGTCTCTTAAGTTCAAGCCCAAGTGTCGGCTTTATTGTACAACTCCAAGACGGAGTTCTGTTACACTTGATTGGAATAAGAAAGGTTTATTTTACCCTTCTATGTTGTTGTTTCCTATCACACGAACTTGATTATTCGCTTATCAG